AGTTATATAAAAGTTTGTTAGAACTTTTTTTTTTTAGGTCAAACGTTTGTGAGAAATAGTAACTTGGAGAAAGTGTCCAGTGTGGTATTTTGAGAATTTTTTTTTAAAAAGAAGTAAAGATGTTACCATTCATGTTTTTCAAAAATACTAAAATCTACACCAAATATGAAAATCCAATAATTCAAAAAACTAGAACCACACAAAAAAAAAACCCCAAATTATAACTACTAACATCCATGATATATATGTTTTGGCTTCTTTCTTAAATTTTATCAGACAACAAAAACTCAAAAATTGCTTTTGTAACACAATAAATTAAGAAGATTAAAAAAAGACGACTCGACGTCGTTTTAAAGGTGAAAACCCTTTCAGAAATTCCTAATTTGCTCTTCCTTCACTTCCCGTCTCACACAATCAACCACTGAATCCTGTTGTTCAAAATTCGCAACTTTATATCTCTCTAGCGAATTTGCTTTTGTGGGTTCTTGTCTTTTTAAGGTTGTAACTGTTGAGATATGTCACTATGAAGTCGAAAAAGATACACTTTAGTTCCAAAGATATAATAATCAGCAATCTACCTGAAGCTCTGCTTTGCCACATATTATCATTCCTTACTATAAAAGACTCTGCTTTGACTTCAGTCCTCTCGAAAAAGTGGCGTTATCTCTTTGCTTTCAGACCAAATCTTGATTTTGATGGCTTGGTTAATAATCTGCATCATCGTGAAGATGGTAACAGAGAAAAAGATGAGATTAATAGAATGTTTATGGATTTTGTGAATAGAGTTTTGGGTTTGCAAGGGAATTCTATTGTCAACAAGTTCTCTCTTAAGTGTGGAATTGATGTTGATCCAGTTTGTGTCATTAGTTGGATACTAAACGTGTTGGAACGTGGTTTATCGGATCTTGATTTACGCGTTAGTGTGGATCGTGGTGAGCTGCCTTCAAAGGTCTTTATGCAAGATCCAAGTAATTTCTGACAACCTCAGCTTATCTTTTTCCTTTTCCACAAGTGGACTCACCTTCTTCAATAGTACCTTTCCCGTTTGAAGATTATCCTTCTTAGAGACGAGACGACCAACATTGTTTTGGTTCTAGTTTTTAGCTTAAGCAACAAAGAAAAATATTACTTTGGCCTCTCTTCTGTTATTTGCGCCTTGGTCTTTCAGATTCTTAATATATATTCCACTTTTTTTATGTAATGTGCACTTCATGCTTTCTATAGGTTTCCAAGTTGTTCGTTTGTTTCACCATACGAATCCCTGAAATAACAAAAAGAAACATTAAATTAACTAATACTTAGAATTAGATATGAACAGTTCTACTGTTGTTGTTCGTCTGTCGAGATCTGTGATACACAGATTGGCTCTTCTTCGCTCTCTGTTTCTACACTTCAGTTCCGTTCGAGAGCTGGTCTATTCAATAGGCTCTTGCCAAGGCGTTCATAGTGTCGCTTCCATTTGACGTCGTTTCCGGAAGTTTGTGTGAAAAGTTTGTTTCTGTTCTATCTTGCCGGTTCAAGATGCTTAGGTTTATTTGATTTGAAAGATCTATTCGGTATTGGAAGATTATATTGTCATTGCTTTGGCCGTTTACTAAAGGTTTATAGGTTTGGTTGTTAGCTCGGTTTCATATTTGTTCTTGTTCGGAAGAATCACGGACAAACATTAGTTGAATCGAAGATGATGAGATGAAGAAAGGAAAAATATCGTTTGATTCAACTTAATTGCTTATTACAACAGAGTCTCTCTTTTATAGTGAGTGTTTACATTAAACCGACTCTTAACCGATTCTAAATTACGGTTTAGTCAAATCGAGTTTCAATATACATTTTTAGAAAACAAGGTCTTTTCTTTTATATATATGGGAAGTGTTCTTAAACATTTAAAAATGATTTAGTAACTCTTTACGAAACATCAAAAAAAAAAAAAAAAAAAAAAATTATTTCCTTGTAACAGTTTAGTAAATAAATAAAGATTTTAAAGATTACTTGGAGAAGTGGAAAGAGAGAGTCGAGGTCTCCAAAAACCTATGTCAAACGCAGCCACTTGTCTGACCAAAACCTTGTAATAAAAACATTTTTACTTTGGTAACGCTTTTGTCCTAACTTCAATCGCAGTCATGAGTGCTGCTGCAACTACAAGACACACCTCGTGGATAGTGGCTACGGCCATAGCCGCCGTGGAAGCTCGTTGGAACTATCCCCTCCGTTTTTTCAACAAAGATGTCAAAGCTCGTCTTCGTGCCATCGCTGTCACTTCCCGTCCACCTTCCTCCGCTTCTTCTTCTTCTTCTTCTTCGGCTGATTTAGTCAAGGACAATCATCCTATGCCTAAATCTGAAGCTTCCATGGAAAGAGTTATGGGTCTTAGCTGCTTTGGCCCAACCACTGTTCGATTCTAGATCTCTTCCGTTGTATGTGTCTTTTTTCTTCCATCATTTTCATGAATTTCATTATTTAATTTTCTTTGTTGATATTACTTGTAATTCTCATAAATTATGGAGGATTCTTGTGGTAGCTAAGTCATGAATTACAAATCATATAGTTTGATATTTGATAATTGAATTTGAGGCAAATCAATCTCTTCTCTTGGCCACATTTTTTTACAACATTCTCCCAACAAGAAATAGAGGTTGCACTCTCGGCAACCCTAGATAATTTCATCAATATTCATTCATGTATATATATATGACTCACTTGGTAGAAACCTAGTTATATGATCTTATATCTTGGGGTTGTTTGTCTCATAATGTTGGGCTTGTGATGTTTGCTTCACTACCTTGTCGCAGATTAAACTTCAGACGAGAACATAAAAACCATCAAAATCTTTGTTAACACATCTTGAATTAATTCAATCATTCCCATAGATTTGCCATTATAACTGCACTTCACCTTACCTACCTCTTACATGTGATGTTCCCATCTCTGTTTGTGATTTTATGATCTTGCGAGATTGGTGCCATTATTCGTTCTTAGAATTCTTATAGTCGTTCTGGTATGACCTACGTTTTGCGATTAATTTTATTGTAAATGATATCATCTATGAACTTCCACAAACAAAATCATCAATAATCTAGAATGTAAAATACAACAAGAAGCATGCACATAGCAAATTCACATTCACATTCAAGAAATCAAAACTAAGGATTTAAACGAGCAGTTCTCACCACTTCAAAGTATGAATCCACACAACTTTTGGAATGTCTTTGTTTCCTACCATACCTCTTAGCTCCTCCTCTGCCTCACTATGCCTCCCAAGTCCTAACCAAGACTTCATCGCCAACACATGTAATGGAGCATGTCGATGTGCTCCATCCCTGAAATTTCCTCCATTCTTGAGAACTTGTACACATTTGATCATACTCTCATACTCTCCCTTTTGCAAGTGCACTAGTGATATGAAACATAGTTTTTGGTTCTCATGGTTGTTCATTCAGCCAGGACAATTGATATGAGAACAAATAAACCAAAATGTTGAAGAACCAGCATAAAAATAAGAAAACCCTAGCTAAGAAGAAATATCTACACGAGAAAGATAACAAGAGACGTACGAGAGGAGTGTTTGTGAGTAATGTAGAAATTAACGAGAAGAGGCATTGAATGACATTGTTGAGGTAATAGGGTGTTCCTACGCTTTTAATTTAGTAGACTCGGCATCCGGGAAAAGGGGATTTTCATACCCGTACTATCGGGACCGTGGATTTTTATACCTCGACAATTTTGTAGTGTATTTTCCAACCCAAACTGAAATAAAATTTGAATTTCAAACATGTATTTGATAAATCGTGCAAAAAACGGAGTCAATCTAACGGGTGTTAGTCAACTCCGTTACGATGCTGAGTCATCGTACACGTGTACGCTGACGTGTATCCCATACGACGTCGTTTTGATAATTGTTCTCAAAATTTTAAATTTTTTGCAAAATCAGGGATTCGAACCTGTGTCCTTTGGCCCAACATCAAGCACCTTTACCAATTCATCCCACAACACTAATCGAACATTCTCCAATCATTTTAATTTATAAACCTTAATAGTTGTGTAATTTATAAACCTTTTTCAGGACTACTAAATTTTGAAATCAAATTCCTTCAGTAAATTTGTTAATCGGAGAGAATCAATAGGCAAAATTGAGAGTAATCTCCGTCGCAATCACCGGAAAAAATGGTGTTTCTCTCTCGCAAAAAACCTCCACCGCCACAGCCTCCGTCGTCGTCCACAGCTGCTCCGTCTCTCAAAATTCCCCAGTCGCAAAAGGAATCCGTTGAACCCGACGCGGTGGAGAAGATGACTGCGATTCTAGCGGAAGTTGGATGCACACTGGTGAATCCGTACGGTCCGCCGTGCCTTTCTTCCGATTTACAAACACACAACTATTAAGGTTTATAAATTAAAATGATTGGAGAATGTTTGATTAGAGTTGTGGGATGAATTAGTAAAGGTGCTCAATGTTGGGCCAAGGGACACGGGTTCGAATCCCTAATTTTGCAAAAAATTTAAACTTTTGAGAACAATTATCAAAACGACGTCGTATGGGATACACGTCAGCGTACACGTGTACGATGACTCAGCATCGTAACGGAGTTGACTAACACCCGTTAGATTGACTCCGTTTTTTGCACGATTTATCAAATACAGGTATGAAATTCAAATTTTATTTCAGTTTGGGTTAGAAAATACACTACAAAATTGTCGAGGTATAAAAATCTACGGTCCCGATAGTACGGGTATGAAAATCCCTTTTTCCCCTCGGCATCCAACGAAGCAACCACTAATCACTGACTCGTCGCCACATCGAATTCAACAGCTCACCACCACCAACATTAACCTTGCATTTCTCTTCTCTTTTAATTCACGCGTTTAGGCTTTCAACTACAAATACATGGAAGATCGGATGAAGAATGATTGGGTAGGTAAATAACTCCAAAGTATGAAGGGTTAAAAGTCTTTTCTCAAATTTTCGATTTAAAATAAATCATAAGGAAATTAATTATTATTATAACAGAGGGATATGAGAACACAATTTGGGAGATAAGATCCCTTCTTCTTCTTCTTCTTCTTCGATTGTGAGAAGCCATAAGAAAGGGTTCGATTGCTCTCTCTCTATATCTTTCATCTTTCTCATTTTTACACTCTCATAGATTGATAGATTCTCTTTTTTTGGGAATCTGATTTTGAATTGATTCATATGATTGGGGTTTAATGGGTGAAGTGTACTCGTGTTCGTGTGTTCTCTAAAGGTGATTCTCTAAAGGTAATTTTGGATTCAAACTTGTGGGTCGCTGGAAAATTTGAATTTTCTGTAGCTATGAACTTGTGGGTCGATTCATGTTTTAAAAAAACTTCAAAGTTTCTGTCCAATTTTGGTGAATTCTATCTTCTAACGTTTCTGGGTTTTGCTTGTTTCTTGTTCTGATAATACATGGTTGAATCTGCGGCTCAAAGAGAAATTATTTGGTAGAACTGATTCATCTCATATATTTTACAGGGACTGATTCATACATATAGTGGAAATTATTTGGCAGTTTCATTCCTTCTTTAAGGTATGTATCACGCATCTTTAAACATAGGATACAATATACCATCAAATCTTCCTAATCTATTGACGTCACTGTCTTTACCTTTGTTCACGTATTTGAATAAATCTTTGATTGCTCTGCTTTGGTTAGTTCTTTTAAGCTTGCTCCGCGTTTTAGTGCTTCTCTTCCAAACAAACTGTTTAGGAAACTCCATGTAACTCAGGTGCCGTACTTCCGTGTTGCATTGTTTCATTCTCATCCACTCCAAAATATTTGGAATCATGTGTATAATCCACATGCATCTTCCAACTGAATTGATAAAATCAGAATTAACATGTGTTAAAGAGAAAATGAATGAATTAATAAATGTGACTAAAGTTAAAGCTTTAACTTGGATAGACTTTAACAGTCAATGACAATGGCAACAACAAAAAAGAATGAAGAACATGAATAGATAGTTAGATCTAGCAGAGAAGACGTTGAATAGAATTGGAGTTAAATAGTAGATAAATCAGTTATAAATTGTCCCACGATTTTAGCTAGAACGTTGTGGTGTTAGTGGCAAAAAAATTAGGGATATAGATCATTTGCTACATGTTTTTTTAATCCTAATAATTCCACATGTTTCTTAAAAGGGATATCAATTTCTTTTTTTCCGTGGAATTTAATAGTAAAAGTGAAAGAATTGGGACTTATGACAGATGTCAGATGGAGAGAGTTGCAGTTACTTGTAAATTAAGATCCTTTGTTTTGCAGTTGACAAATTCGATCTTGTTCTTTTTGGACCATTAGAGAGATGCAGGTAAAAAATTGCCAATTTTTATGTTTTTTTTGCAAAACTTTGACTAAGTATGTGTGTGTGATTGATTGATTGATTCATGTATAGGCATCAAGAGCGAGACTCTTTAAAGAATACAAAGAGGTTCAGCGAGAGAAAGTAGCTGATCCAGATATTCAATTGGTGTGTGACGATACCAACATATTCAAATGGACCGCTCTTATCAAGGTTTTTTTTCGGAGAAATTATTGATAAGAAAACCGAAAAGCTTCCTTCATTTTGCAGGGAAAGTTTATGGTTTCTGTTTGTGAAACATTGTCGTTGTTGTTGTATTGTTGCAGGGACCGTCAGAGACTCCTTATGAAGGCGGTGTTTTTCAGCTTGCTTTTGCTGTTCCTGAACCATATCCTTTGCAACCTCCTCAAGTACGATTCTTGACCAAAATATTTCATCCAAATGTGCATTTCAAGGTAGTGAAATGATGATTGCGGTTTTTATAATCTCTCCGGTAAAAAAAAAGGGCACTGTTTTTTATTACTTGGAATTTGTAGACAGGGGAAATATGCCTCGACATATTGAAGAATGCGTGGAGTCCCGCTTGGACGCTTCAGTCCGTGTGTAGAGCTATCATAGCATTGATGGCTCATCCTGAGCCGGACAGTCCTCTTAACTGCGACTCAGGTAACAAAGCTAGTTTTAGTGTTTTATAGTATGCAACTGCTTTTTAGTGAAATCTGTGTGTTTTGACACTTTTGTTGTTGGGGTTGTTGCTGTTAAAGGTAATCTTCTAAGATCTGGGGATGTGAGAGGGTTCAATTCAATGGCACGCATGTACACACGCCTCGCCGCAATGCCAAAGAAAGGATGATGATCCTCTTGCTTTTTTCTTTGAATTTGTAATGCTAATGATTTGCGAGAGTGAATACATTTTTTCTTTAACAGTCCAAATATTCAACATCCCGACTTTACCAATTGCCTCAAACTAGATAAAGAAGCAAGAGACCTTATCATTCAAGCAATGGCTCGTCATTATTCCATATTACCCAGTGTAAAAGTTCCTGCGTACATCACTAACCGAGCCACTGGAAGTTCTCTTACTTTGAAGTTGAATCAAAGGGCTCTTCCTGAATCCATGAGATTTAAGGCTTGCATTGTTTTGGCTGATAACTGTGACCATGAGGCTGGTAATGAGGGGTGTATGGACGTATGTTTGACCATTATGGAAAGGCAGAATGATTTCCTCACTTCTACGTGTGTATTAAAAAACCATACTTTTCGACATTTTTACCGGAGCATCTCTACACATTCGAAGTTATAGTTGAAGTTGAGGTGACTTCCGACGAGCTTGTCTTCGATTTCAAGCTCAACAGTGAGAAATGGGAGAGAGAATGCGGGGTACTCCAACTGAAGAACCACGTTCGAACATTTTTGGAAATCGATTTTTGGGACTTATATTAGAGATGATAAAGCTGGTCTAGTTGGTTTGATGCTTCATGCTTTCTGGTCTAGTTGGTTTGTACAGATTTTACAATTAAATGACGGAAACTTACATTTCTTCGATTCGGTTTTTTCTTTGTCGATCTTTCATGGAGAAAAACTAAAAGTGAAGTCTACCACGAAACATGAGTGAGGCTTGAGTATTATTTCTCTTGTAAGACTATGTCACTATAATCATATCCCAATCTTCTCTTATGGGTGGCTTCTAGAGAGAATTACGTGTGGTCAACTAGTAATTCCTTACAACTGCTTGCTAGAGAATTACGACGGGTGTTCCCTTGCGGGTAGCTTTCAGAGGCAAGTACGAGTGATCACCTAGTGATTTTTTTGTGAGCTGTCGCGAGAAGAAATTCAGGTAGCCGCCAAGAGTTCCCTTAAGAGTCCGGAAACGGCCGACTGGAAGCGATCGACTCTATGAACGCCTGAGCAAGAGCCTGATGAATATGAATAAAACAGCTCTCGAACGGAACTGAAGTGTAAAAACAAAGGGAGCAGAAGAGCCAATCCGGGTATCACAGATCTCGACAAACAAAAACCAACAAAAGAACTGTTCATATCTGCTAAGTTATTTTAATGTTTCTTTTTGTTATTTCAGGCCTTCAGGGATTCGTATGGTGAAACAAATGAACAACTAGGAAACCTATAGAAAGCATGAAGTGTACACATTACATAAAAAAAGTGGAATATATATTAAGAATCTGAAAGACCAAGGCGCAAATAACAGAAGAGAGGCCAAAGTAATATTTTTCATTGTTGCTTAAGCTAAAAACTAGAACCAAAACAATGTTGGTCGTCTCGTCTCTAAGAAGGATAATCTTCAAATGGGAAAGGTACTATTGAAGAAGGTGAGTCCCCTTGTGGAAAAGGAAAAAGATAAGCTGAGGTTGTCAGAAATTACTTGGATCTTGCATTTAGCCGAAGCTACTCTAGTAAGCATCTGAAGTTGCTTGGAAACTTCAAGTACATCGTCATCGGATGGTGTATCATAGTATAATATCATTTGTTCAAGATTCGGCATTGTCTCTAGAAAGTGTTTGACCTGCTCTAACTGCTTTTTCATATCCTTGTTATAGTTATAACTTTTTTCACCAAACTTCCATACCTTTACGACCTTCACCGGATTTGACGATAAACAAGTTGAAATGTCTTCAGAATATTTGCAAAGGCACATTTAATTGTATCCTTGTGATGGAGTCCCTAAATCATTGAGGAAATATCATCAATATCTAACTGTGTGTAGTTAAATGTGTTAAATATGCAGTAAAAATGTGTTGGTACTTGGAAGACGAGGGTTTCTAGATTTGGACATTTCTTGAGTAAAGCCGGCAATGATTCCCATCCTACTTCTCCATGACGGTGAGTTTTAATCGTTAAATGAATCAGGCTGTTGAATACCGGTATTGATTCACAGCAAAAAGTAAGCACCTAAAACAAAAACCAAATCAACTAAATCACCATTCATCTGCAATCAGGAACTCAAAAAATCATTAATCAATATTACGTTAATATACCTCAAGAGACCTGTCAGAGAAGTGAAGGATCTGAACATTGCTTACTCCCATAAGAAAATCTGTTACATTACCAACCAAATCTCCATAGCTTGCTTGTGCACACTGATCATATGTCATATGAAGATTGAGACAAGCTTCAACAAGCGAACAAAAATTCACTCTCGGGTACTTGCCCGCAACATAATCAGAGTATTCCAAGTAGACAAGATTTGGTGTATCAAATGAAACAGTATCCGAAATCTGCTCATATTCTATACAAGATAGCTTCAATCTCTTAAGGGTTTTGGAAGACACAGAGCGGTTCCTAAAATCAGAGTAAACATTGTTACATTGATCATAACCAATTCCTCACTTTAGTGAGAACTTGATTACAATAGAATTCCCTTGCAAACCCAAAACTCTATTCACAAAATCCATAAACATTCTATTAATCTCATCTTTTTCTCTGTTACCATCTTCACGATATGCATATTATTAACCGAGCCATCAAAACAAGTTTTGGTCTGAAAGCAAAGAGATAACGCCACTTTTTCGAGAGGACTGAAGTCAAAGCAGAATCGTTTATAGGAAGGAATGATAATATGTGAAAAACAGAGCTTCTGGTACATTGCTAATTATATCTTCGGAACTAAAGTCTATCTTTTTCGATTTCATAGTGACATATCTCAACAATTACAAGCTTAAATAGAAGATTTTTGAAAGAATTTCAGAACCTTAACCCCAAAAAAAACAAGAACCCACAAAAGCAAATTTGCTAGAGAGATATAACAATTCGACAATATAGAGTCACAAATCAGACCTGTAAGAAACTAGCGGGTGATTGTGTGAGAGGTGAAGTGGAGGAAGAGCAAGCAAATTAGGATTCTTTGAAACGACAGCGTATGAGTGGTTATGTTCTCATTTTCTATTTTCTTTTTTCTTGTGTGATAAATTCAATTTTGTTATGAATCTCGTGTTTTCTCTTATTAATGAATGAGGTTACAACTTATATATATACACAATAAGGGAGACAAATCCCAATTGGACTAGAAAACCCTAAAGCCCAAAGCCCACAAAGACTAACATAAACCGTCATTGGGCGAATCTTCTAGAAGATAGACATGGGCCTTCTAGAACATGGACATGAGCCACGGTTATGGAGTCCATCCGTAATGTGGTATACAACACTCCCCCTTGGATGACATAACCGTGTAGATGCCAAAGGATCTTTGTAATGCGCTTGGGGATGCTGCCTCATTAAAACCTTACCAGGAAAATCCATTGGGACAAAATCACGGTGAAGGAAAAAGAGTACAGCACGCATTACTCCCCCTGTTTTGGTCATCCCTGCAAGTCCTTAAGTCTCCGCATTCCAATTTGATGCATGAGCTTCCTCAATGTTGTTGTCGGTAGTGCTTTAGTGAAGAGATCGGCTGAGTTGTTGCTTGAACGAACTTGCACCACTTGAACTTCACCATCCTTTTGTAGGTCATGCGTGAAGAAGAACTTAGGTAGAATGTGCTTTGTCCGATCTCCCTTGATGTAGCCGTCCTTGAGCTGAGCGATACATGGCTACGTTGTCTTCACATATGATGGTCTTTGATGTTGTAGTAGCTGCGCCTTGAAGAAGGCTGCCTACGTACCCTTGGAAGGGATCAAGCCACACGTAGTTCCTATTTATTGACCATGCCATAATTTGATCTTACCTGCATCAGCAAAACAAACTAAACCAAAGCAAACTAGACCTTCTTTGGTTAGATCAGTATAGAATAAACCCAAATAAACAAAGTAGGAAGAATAAACTTTAAAATTTAACCAAACCTTCCTTAAAACATTTCTAGTGCCTTTGGGTTGATCATGAACTAAATTTAGACAAAGGAGGTTCACGGCAAAACATATGTCTGGTCTAGTGTGGCTAGCCAAGTACATTAATGTTCATATGGCACTGAGGTATGGCAGTTTAGGACCGAGAACTTCTTCCTCGTCCTTCTTTGGACCGAATGGATCACTATCCAATCCAAGGCTTCTCACCACCATTGGGCTTGGTCAATGGGCGGGCCTGGTCCTTATTAAATATCCTTGAGTACTTTTCAGTATATGCCTTTTGATGCACAAGGATTCCATTATTCATGTACTCATGTTGTAATCTCAAACAGAACTTAATTATTGTCTAGGTCTTTCTTTTTAGATATACTCAACTGTTTGGTCGATTACCCAGAGGTTTAAATTATTCATATACACTGCTATGATTACAAATCCTTTGTTTGCAAACATCTTTATGAAAATGCATGGACTAATGGGATCATTTATAACATTCCATACGCCCATTTGGTCTAAGTCCATGAAAGGATTTGTCCAGCCTTATGCAGTGATATTCTCGAGAATCTTTCTTATCTTTGAGCTCAATACCCTCTGGTAATCTCATATATTATCCAGTGAACTTATATAAATATGCAGGCATTACATCCATTAGCCGCAAATCAAATCTTTTTCTTTATATAGCCAGACATAGCATCCACCACAGGGGAGTATGTTTCTTCATAATCTATCCCCGGTCTTTGTGAGAATCCTTGTGCTATAAGTCGTGCCTTATATCTCACGATTTCATTATTCTCATTTCTCTTCTTCACAAAGACCCATTTGTGTCCTACTGGTTTTTACATCGAATGGTGTCCTTAAGGTCGGACCAAACTCATTCCTTTTCTTAATGATTCTTAGCTCCACGTTTTATGGTCTTGTACCATTTAATCAATCAAGTCTTTGAGTGCACTCTAGTATAGACGTGTACTCCTGATCCTCATTTATATTCATAAATTCAAGTGCTACCTTGCATGCAAAATCATCTTATGTCGACATTTCTTATATGTTCCATTATGTTCCAGACATGATATAATCGATTTGAGATTTATTATGGTCAGGACCTTTAATACTTTGCAGCTTGGCGTCCCAAGCTACATTATATGGTACCTGTACCTTAGAGCCGGCCGGCCTTATCTCCATGTCTAGGATGGTTTCCTTAGTAACCTCGAATTCCTATTGCACCTTTATTT